TGTGTGCCTTGGTTATGGTAGGTAATTCGAAGAAAATAAAGTGTTACTGTTTTTATTTGTAGAAGGATTAAGAGGAAAGACCACAACATAATGAACTAATGCATCACAGTACCTGAAAACTCTGACTTCACTTTTTTTGAAAAATGAAATGGTCTTTCCTTTTACTCCCGATCAACAATCAAATATCTTTTATTGAATTGTGAGTAACGTGAATGGATTGAAATATTTAATCAAATTATCTCAAAAGAAACCTTCATTTCGGTGCAATATTGAAATTAGCTTGAATTCTTCATAATCTCTGAATAGTGGGTGACCAATGGGTCATGGGTTGTCTAGTTATTACTAACTCTTTCAATTCCATTATTATACAAGAAACACTAATGCACCATAACAATAAATGATGTTAATATCATATGTAAACAAATTCTTGCAGCACCTCCTAAGGTTACTGGGATCTGTTAATGAAGTAATTCAGGAAGCAGCAGCAGGATGCCTTGGAAACATTCGGCAGTTGGCCATGGCAAGCGAAACGTCATGACATTCATCATGAAGGTTTCTCGGTACTTTTTCAGTCATTATTTGTTATGTTTTAAAATTTCAGTACAACCTATAGATTTGTCACACAATTTATTTATATTGAATTTTTTGTTTTGAAGTTTTAAGTATTTTACATACATTATAAATTCCTTGTCATAGACATCAAACATTTGTATTAATTATTTAAAGTATAATTTAAATATTTTTAGTATTGTATAATGCTTATTCTTAATTCAAAATTTTATTTTGTATTTAACTAAAACATCAAAAAGATTTGAGTATTTATTAAATCTCACATGTGAAAGCTGTATTTGAAATGAATTCATAGTCAATTCCCAATAGCAATTTATTATCAGTTTATGCTGAAGAAATTATTTTACGTACATTTATGTTGTATTTTGTTATATGTTATTATTAAATGTTTTTAATAAAATTTTTATTCTATAGAGGTAGGGATTGTTTCTTTGTAATTATAAAGTATACTATTTAATTATTGAAAAACGACTGATCTCTGATCTACTAGCAGTGAGGGATTTGGAAGCTTTAATAGTGGAGCTGAGGCCAATTTTTCTTTCAATGTCATGAAAGCATGCTGGCAAGAAACTGTCCATTCAAACTTCTGATCTTTCTCTGTCGAATCATGTAGTGGAGCAGCTATAGTTGTAAAATCCTTCACAAACTTTCGGTAATAGGTACAGAGTCCCAAGAAACTTCTTAACTCTCCCACATTGTCTGGTGTTGGCCAATCACGCACTGCTTTCACCTTCTCAGGATCAGTTCGCACACCATGCTCACTTACAATGTGACCCAAGTAAAGCACCTCTTTCTGGAACAAGTGGCATTTCTTGGGATGGAGTTTGAGGTTTGCTGCTTTCAATACTTCCTCTAGCCGGGACATTTCCTCATCAAACATTGTTGCAAACACAATGACATCACCCAGGTACACTAGGGCTATCCTCCGTTGTAGGCCTTCCAGTACTCTTTCCATCAGCCTCTCAACTGTTGCTGGAGCATTGCTATGCCCGAGTGGCATCACACAGTATAGCCAGAGACGTTGGCCATAACTAAATGCAGTCTTAGGTTTATCGGCTTCAGCTATTTTCACTTGATGGAAACCCGACTTTAAGTTCAGAGTTGAAAACCACCTGGCTCCACTTAGGGCATCAAGAGTATCATAAATTCTTGGCAGTGGTTATACTATTAAGAGCCCTACAATCCACACAGCAACGTTGGGTCCCATCCTTCTTCTGGACTAACACGACGGGAGCTGACCAGGGACAATCTGATTTCTCGACTATCCCTTCCTTAGTAAGGCCATCCATGACCTTCTCCATCT